AATCGCTGAAAACTGTTTTCCAAAATTCGCAGCGGGTAGTGTACAGCATCGATTTCTGTGGAACCCAGTAGCTGTCAAAACTTTCACATTTTTACAAATAACTCGGAAATCGTAAATTTTTCAGGTAAAACGTTTGACACAAACTTAACTTAAATTTTGACGACAAATCTGAAAATGAATGAAAAAATTGGCGGTTCCATTTAAAAAACCAAAGTTGGTAACTACCACACGTTTATGATACACCCCGTATATTGGAAAGTAATTTTAAGATGTGGACCTTTTAAACATGAAAAACTTTCGTAGGACGTATTTTCTTGTAAAGTTCATATTTACTGAGATATCGCACTTTGACGCACTAATGAGCAACCCTGTATATTTATAATTTGCTAACGTTTAATTGCTTTTGCTCAATACCCAGCTAAGAGGAAAACCGTTGAAGTAAATATATCTTACACCGTACAGGGTGTCCCATGAATATGGAATATGTGCTGTTTTCCGTAAGTTGAACCATTTAATTTCAATAATCCTGAATACATTAGAAGTCTAAATGTCGTTCCTCCAACTTACGTTTCAGCGGAAAGACGTTTTTCCATAACATCTTTATTTACTAGAAAACATTGCAGCCGATGATCTAATGAATCAGTGTGTTGGTTACTCTGTTTAAACTTTTGGTCATTCAAATTTTTAAAAGCTTTCATTTATTTCTGTCATATTATTTGTATGTAGTTCTATGTAAAAATTACTTTTCAATGATGATCCAGTTTTTGGTTTTCAATGGTAAATTTTAATTTCAAATTGTAATTAATGTGTTAATTATGCACATTTCACAAAACAGTAACCTCAAGTAGTAAATAAATTTCGATGAAGAGTTTACAATGTACACTTTAGTAATTATTTTTCCAATCCCTTGTTAGTTTTCAGAGTTACATACAGATATTTCATTGTTCTTGCACTTTCGTTAGAATTTGTAAATTGTACTACATGGAAATATATTCATTTTCGTTGGATGAAGATCTTCTGGATCTTGGTAGACAAAGAAAAGGTAGGGTCAACAAAGGTAAACTTACTAAAATAGTAAATAGTTTCATATTTTTTAAATTATTTGGTATTGACTATTATTATCTTTTAATTTAATTATTATTATTGCTACATTAACTAATACTTGTCTGCTTCTACGGCTTATATAAAACAAGACTTGCAAGACCAAGATCAACACTATGTATGCAAAAAGAAGACCTCAAACCAAGTCTTGGTCTTGGTTTGAATTGAAGGAATCGACAATATTAAATTTTTATTACTATTCATACTAATAAAAATTAAGAATTCTTAATTTACCGCAAAAATGGCTGCTTTGGGGGACAACCTAAAAGACGCATTTTCTTTCTACGCTTGTCAAAACTATCACATTAATAAGCATTGGGTGCTGCAAATTTTAACAATCTAACTTAGTTTAATTTTGAATTTAACTAAAAAAGTTAGTTTACCAACTCTATAGAAAATTAAAACAAAACTATCTAAAATCAGCTCTTTTATTTGCAGTGTACCATCTTCCCAAGTACGTATGGTTTATAGTTAAGCTGAGCTTTTCTAAATTTCATTACAAAAACCTATTTGATTGGATTATCTACAGTTGGCTTTACAGTGTTTTAGAATGAATATAAAACCTTAGTTCAAAGCTTTAGCTGGTTGCAAATTGGTTTTGTACTTACACTTCAAACATATAGATTTAAAAACACAAGAAGTTTTTCACCTTGGTGTTCTTCTTAAATAAGCCGCATTTTGTTCTCTTTTTAACTTT